GAGAGGTTCCGTCTGAGTCTCGGAGCGCTAGTGGGGGGTGGGGGTTGCAGGGGTATGGCTTTGATATGGGCGGGGTATGAGTCTCCCGGAAACCTGCGATCCTGGAGCCCTGCACCCCTGCCAGCCAGGACTATACGCAGGCTCTTCTGAGCCCACCAATCAGAGAGGCCGTCGCCGTTCTATGGCGGGCTTGTGGGTACTGTCCTCTGGCTGAGCAGCCCGGCCGAGAACCTAGAAGCGGATGAGAGGTTCCGTCTGAGTCTCGGAGCGCTAGTGGTGGCCGCGGAGCGCTAGTGGTGGCCTGAGGGAACCACCACTCCATTTAAAAATCGTGCTCACCGCCCACCCCAAGAGGCAGTGAAGGCGAGGCCTCGGGCTGGAAAGAGGGCCTGGGGGCTGTGGTAGGGGAGAGAAGGGAGACCCAGGTTCTCGTTTAGAAAGACCCTGGGGCAGCTGCTAGGAGAATGCCGGGAAGGGGAGCCGCCTGAGCGGAGCATATGGTTTCAGGGATGTGCATAATGTAGGCGAGGTCGGCAGGGAGCGAGTGAGGGGCTTAAACTGTGCAAGGGGAGCAGCAGGAAGAGGGGATGCAAGACTCCATGGAAACTGATTGGACGACTGGTTAGCTGGGGAGGTGGGAGGGGGAAGCTGCCGTTGGTTCCTGCAGGTGAGGAGAGGGCGGCAGCAGGAGTCTGGCTGGGGCAGCACAGGGCTCAGCCTTTCGTGGAGGCGTGGGGAGGGGTCTGGGTTAAGATTGAAGAGGTGGGGATCAGTATCACCAAGGCTGCCAGTAGTGCACACCAATGGAGGTGCTGGACTCAACCCTTACCTTAAATCAAGGACAAAGGCAATGTTACTACCTTTTATTTACAAACAATGAAACTGAGTCACAAAGAGAAGGAAACTTGCTACTGTCACAGAGCCAGAAAGGGACAGATCTAGCACCAAGGTCTGCCTGAGGACCTATAGAGCAACCAAACAGAGCAAATGCAGAAGGCTGCTCAAGACTGAAGGGGGTGTGGTGAGCAGAGCAGGAGGATCAGGGAGAGGGGGCAGGGAGAGGACAGTTGGAGCTAAAGGGAATGAGTTGGATTCAGGTGCCCAGGGGCTGCTGGTCAGTGGGTTTAGGGTGATGTTGGCTGGCCCTGACTGCCCATGGCCAAAGTGAGGCAGGTGCTGTCCATAGCAAGTCACAGGCAGAGCTGGAAGGCTTGAAGGGATTTGGTGTGTTGCCTGCCAGAGCAGAAGGCCTACTCCTGTCCCCTAGGAGAGGGCAGAGGTTCGTGGAAGTGCCATCTTCTTGTTTGGAGATGTCATCTACAGCCGTGGCAGGAAGTTCCAGCAGCCGCTCAAGAATTTGGCCTTCCAGGCCCTGGTCCCTCTGCTCTTCCACTTAGCCGACCCCTGCCAGGAGGTGGTTATGGTGAGCAGGCTTCCCGGGCTGGGGTGGCCGGAGAGCCTAGGCTGTGGGAAGACCCAGATCTATGAATGGAGACCAGAACTAGGCTGGGCCAGACAGAGCAGGTTGGGCCTCGTCTTGAAGGTGAGTCTGCGGATGGAGAAACGACCACATTCCTGTGATAGTCCTTTGGCCACCTGCTGTCAGCTTTTCTACTCCTGCTGCTCTGTCAGCCCAGGGTCTCGGGCACCTCCACTGGCTGCAGAAATCTTCTCCTCCCCTGCCTAAAACCAGCCTTGGGAGTACGGCATCCAGGATCTTCTGCCTCCACTCCTCTTCCCTGGCCAGTGGGCCAGACTGTGTCCTCCTCAAGGGCACCAAGAGTCTCATTACATGACCCCCAGGTTTTATGGGCCCTGCCTTTGTGTAGTGTCTCTGACCTCCTGTAACACCCCTTTTCACTTCTGGACAGGGCCCTGCTTCTTTTCCCTGGACACCCGATCTGGCCTCTACTTTTTACCAGTAGGCCAGGCACCACTTCTGCTGGCCCTGGACAACTGCTCTGTGCAGACCTGTACCCTGTAACCCTTATACCACCCAAGGGCCTCTCCACTCATCCCAGACCTCACATTCAACAACCAAACAACCCACCAAGCTTCCTTCTCCACTGTGGGAAGTTAAGCCTCTTTCCCAGACTTAGAAAGTATAATTCTTTTCTCTGAGGCAAGGGGGCCCAAGCAGACTCCTTGGGTGGCATCTCCTCCTTGGCCTCAGGTAGGAGGCCTGGGCAGCCAAGGTGACCACTGGCCTCTCTGTAAGCTTTGTGCAGGTCCAATGGGGCTTAGGATGGGGACACTTTGTTGGGTCCCCCTTCCCTGGGCAGGCAGATGGCATGGCCAGGACCCCAGGTGTCCTGGGAGAGTATCCCTGCAGAATCCTGCTCCCCTTGGGGTCTGTCTGGGAGGGACACGAGGATGGGGTAGAGGCTGGGGACATTCTGAGTGACCTATCTGTTTTGCATCCACAGGGGACCAAGTTCACCTTCTTTCGTTGCACCATCTTGCTAAAGCGGGAGTTCCAGAAGGAGCTATTCAGCCAGTTGACATGGGGCTGAGGGCTGGAGGCTGAGTATGACATTTTTGTCTACATGGTAAGATGTGAGCCCCCTGTGGGAGAAGGGCTGGGGACAAGGGGGAGGAGATGGATGTGTACAGTCACCCCAGCCCTGAGGAGGGTTGAGGGAGGGGATGGACAGGTGGTCCTGCTGATGTTTAAGTGAAGGAGGGTGGAGCATACCTCCTCTCAGCCCACAGGCCTCACAATAGCTACTAGCCTCCCTTCCTTCCCTCCAGCATTGGAGGGTTCCTTTTCCATTCTGTGCTTCAAGGTGACTGTCCTATACCCCCAGGGCTTGGACTTGGAAGGCCAGAAAAACAGGATGATTTGCTACTATATTTTGTCCTGGTCACCTCCCTCCTCCCCGAGGATGAAGGGCAGAGCCACTTCCTGCTTGAATGTGGAGGAAGGAAAACATGTAAGGAGGGGAAAACCAGTGAAAAGTCTCCTGGTAGTGCCAGCCAAAGTGGCCCCAACAGTCCCTGATGGGCCACATTTAGAAGCTGTGGACAGTTGGAGGATGGAAAAGGCCAAATCTCTGGGACAGGAGCAGTCTGGGAGGCTTCCTGCAGTAGACAAAGCCAGGTGGTCTCAGAAAAGGATGGAAGTTTCCTTTCAGGGGTGGGGGGAGTAGCACTGCCTTGAGAGTTGAGCTCACCAGGAGCAAACAGACTGGGCTCCCAGCCACAAGTGCCCTCTCAGGTTCTTCCCCAGTCTTTGTAGGGTTGTCTTTGCTTGGAAATGTATGTGGATTCCTCCAGCACTTCAGGTGTGGATTCTGGGCTGGTTATTTGTGTTGAACTTGTTTTTGCAGTCAGTGACTTGTGCGTTTGCTTTGCTGATGGTGTCTCTGGTTGCGCAGAAGTTTCCAAGTCCAGTATAGTGTAACTGGAAGTAGTCCTGTCTGCAGTTTATGCTTTGGGGTCTTGTTCAAAACCTCCTCCCTGTTCCTTATAATAGTACCGCATCCAGCAGGTCCTAGAGGGGCCTCCATGTTGAATGCAATGCTGAGCTCCTTGCCTGTGGGAAGGGATGCTGCTTACCCATTGTCCACAGTGGTGCCACCTGTCACCTTATAGTTGGTGATGGTGACAACAGAAGCCTGGACCCTGGGAGGGAGCCCAAACACCTCAATTCTGACTTTAAGTGTTTGGTGTCTATCAGAGTCCACTTAGGAGGCCGGCAGGCACAGCCACTTGAGCAGGGAAAGCTTAATGTAAAGAGGCATGATCTGCAGTTGGAAATGAGTTATAGTATAAGGGGGCAAAAGCCTTAAACAGCACCCATACAGTGCCATGTATAACATATAATAAGTAATATCCACTCCCCTGAGGTGGGCGCCCAGAACCCCTCCAGAAATGCCAGAAAAAACCTCTCCTAGATCACATGGAGCAGAGGATACAAGATCATCCTGGGTATCTGGAGGCAGCTACTACTGCAGGGCTGCAAGAGCTGACCCTGGAGACCTGGGTGCAGCCTTGCCCCCTGCAGGGTCCCTGCATTGCTGCCTCCTGTGCTGAGGGCTGATCAGACCCTCGGATACCTGTAGGGGGGATCAGTGGGGAATAAAGAGAGACAGAGACAATATTCAAGGTACAAGGCGGGCAGGAGGAACCTGCCTGTAGTGGACAGACTCAATAATCTCCAGTTGACCCACTTTTATTAGCAAGCAAGAAGCACGGGGGTAGGGGTAGTGTACTTTTCATGAACAGCAAGGTCAGTAAATGTGTCAGCATGTAAATGTGTAAACTAGTAAGTGGGGAACAAGTTAATGGCAAACAGATCCTTCTGTATACCCAGAAAACTGCATTCTTTATATTGTCTTCAGTAGATGTCATCTTGCCCTAGGAGTGCTATGTTTGTGAGTTTTCTACACACAACCACGAAGCCTGTGGTTTTCCTCTAACTTCTCTGTTCCTAAAGCAAGTTACAATGGCCTTGGATCCCACAGACCCAAGTCATGTAGCCTGGCCCCCGACACTTCTGGATCTTCAGGGCCAGCTATGAAGGGGTGGATAGACAACCCAGATCTGTGTTCACAGAGCAGGCAAAATGGGTGAATTTGAATCTGAAAGACAAAAAAAGAAAATTGGCAGTGGGCACAAGGGTCTGTATCTCAGATGTGTTTGACCTCATTCTGTTGTATTTCACATAGTTTCACCTCAGTTTCTTGTTTTCATCTTCTTTGCCTCTATTTTTTTTTTGCACTTTATTAAATTCTTTTATTGGTACATTGTAGGTATACAATGTAATTACATTTCTCATTGGGAATTGTACCTTTACATAATGCATCTTGGTTCTTATTTCTTCCCCATTCCTAGCCCTCCCTTCACCCTCTCCACCCGTCCCTATTTACAAAGACTTTATTTTCATTTTTTCCATTTCTCATCATTTTTCCTTTCCCTTCTTTCCTTTCCCCTGCCCCTCCCACTACCCCTACCCCTTTGGACCTTTTCTTCCTATTTTGCACTATTGATTATTCATTCTAATCATTGGTACATTTTAGGTATACAATATAATGACATTCATCACTGGAAATTTGCACCTTTACATAGTCTCTCTTGGTTCTTATTTTTCACCCTTGCCCAGCCCTCCCTTCAACCCCTCCAGTCCTCCCTATTTACAAAGATTTTGTTCCTATTTTTCCATTTTCTCATATTAATCCCATTCCCTTCTATCCTTTCCCCTAGCCCTCCCACTTCCTTCTTTGCCTCTTGATGCTTCATTTTGGGTTGCTTTCCAGCTTTATCTTCCAGTCCCGAAATCATTTTCCTCCATCTCTGATTTGCTCTTTGAAACATCCACTGCCTGATGTTTGTGAGCCACTTGCTCCCTTCAAGGGTCTTGCCTTTGTCTTCTGAGTTCCCATTCCCATAAATGTGACCATTTAAGAAAGTAGCCATTGTCTGCTCAGTGGCTGACCTCGCTGAATCCCTGTGCTCAAATTCTCACCCCTGCTCACTTTCCCTCATTGTCTCAACCCTTGTCCTGTGTGTGGTTCAACTTTCCCTGGGGATCTTGGGTCTTGCACTCATGCATCTCCGTGGTTGCTGCTGACATGGGATGGATTTGCTGTTAGGCTCCTAGGTCGGCCTAGAATGCAGGCCCTGTAAATCCCAATTCTAATTCTTATGTGGCCCTCACCCACGGGTGTCATGCCTCAGGAAATTGTTCTTTTCCCAGATAAGCTGAAAACGATCTATTTTGGGTCTTTTCCCTGTCCTTGGGGTCTTCCCAGTCTGCTGACAGGGCCCCTCTTCTTCCCTTGGCTCTCAGGCCTTAGGGCTGATTTCTGCATGGGTGGCAGGGTTGACTCCACCCTCCACATGGGGAAACAGCCTCACACTCAGGGTGGCCTGAGCTTCAGCTCTGGGGCTTCAGGTACTGGTTGTGTCCTGCCAAGTTCTGCCCTTGGGTGTTCTACTTTTGAGCTAGTTTAGCAAAGCAGTTGAAAAGAAATTTGTTGTTAACAGATTCTTTCATCTTGGAGTTATTTCCTTGTACGGAGAGGAATATGCATTACCATTTGTGTTTTATTTAATATTCAGCTTTATAAATATTGTTAATTCATCAAAATGTCCTTTTAAAGCATTAAAAGTCAACATTGCTAACATTACATTTGCCAATTACTGAGTGATCCATACATTAAAACTTATTTCACAGAATTTCCCCGAACATATTGATGACATACTTATTGGCACACCTCTGAGTACTTAATTAAAATACTGCTTTAAAGTATCAGATTTTCTAGGCATTTCCAACACTGCAGACAAGGGTAGGGTGTCTTCGGATCACTTGATCTTGCATCTGATCTCCCTCCTCCTCCTCTTCCTCTTCCTCCTTCTTCTCTTCCTCCTCTTCCTCCTTCTCCTTTTCCTCTTGTTCTTCCTTTCCCACTCAGCCTTTAGGGCTTTCACAACTCTGCAAGATGGCTATGGTTTTATTAGACCCCAAAGGAAGCAGCTGTCTGGCAGTACCCCCTCACCCAGGGCACAGGGTTGCTGACCTCTGGGCCTGGCTGCAGTGACTTTTGCTTGCCCCAGCAGACTTTCTTTCTCAGAAATCTTGGCTTCTCTGTGTCCTGGTGTACCCACAGGTGGTGTGCAAGGTCAGGATACTCCTCCTCCGGGCTGCCACCTTGTGATAACTGAATCCCATTAGGTCATGGCTCTCTGCCTCTCACCACATGGGCCCCTGAGATTAAGCCTCTCCTGCCAGCTGCTGGGCAGGGATACGGGACTGCCCCATGCCACAGGCTGACTGCCCCTTTTGCCCCCACAGTCCTCTCCATCCCTGTCCCGGACTGCTCACAGCCCTGACTGCACAACCATAAGGAGCTAGCTTACACCAACATCTTGTTTTTTTAAAATCCTAAGTACAGAAACAAAATACCCATAGTTAATTACAGGCTTCCCCAGTTTGTCAGACCAGAAATAAGTCGCATGTGATGAATTGCAGCTTCCCTTCCTGTTGGTCAGTGCCTCCTTTCTGCTTGTATCATGATTCCCTTGTCTGTAGCCTGTGTCACCTGCTGGGGCAATTAACCACAGCACCACAGTGGGCTGAACAAAGGGACATCCACATTCCCCTCCCAGCACCAGGAATGCCTGTCCACTGGGAATCTGCCCAAGCCTCTCCCCTGGCTTCCACACCCCCTAGGCTGGTGGCGCCATAGTTCCACTATGAGGTGTTCTCCCTCTCTGTGTGTCTGTCACTGCATCACACTTCCCCCTCTTATAAAGACACTGGGCATATTGGGTCAGGGTCCTTCCCAGTGATGTCATTTTACTTTGATCAGCTCTGTAAGACCTTGTGCCTGAATGAGGTCACATTCTGAGATGCTGGGGGTCAGGAATTCAACTTGTTCATTTTTGGACACAACTCCACCCTTGTGGCCATTGGAAGATTGGGTTTATTTTGGGGATTGCTGTTCCCATCAACAGCTTCATGGCTTCCATGCTCGACCCATTCCATCTAGGGAAACAGATACCCCTTTCCCTTCAACCTTTTTCCTTTTGAGTATTGCCCTGGACATTTTAGGAAGCACTCTTCTTTCTGCCAACATTAGAATGTTCCAGACCCTTCCTAATTTTTTTCCCACTCCAAGACAGGGTCAACTGCAGGGAGTCCTGGGTCCAGGCTGCTCTGGAGAACATGCTCATGGTTTGGTGGTAGCCAAACTACCTGGAATGCACAGTGCCCTCAGGTCTGCTGATGACTGAGGTGCTCTTATATGTTGAAGGTGGACCAAATTGAGAAGGATCTGGGTTTGCAAGGAGGATATCAGAGTCCGAGGCGTGGCTAGATGTGGAAGTCCAGACTGCCGGGGATCTGTTCCCACAGAGCTCAGGTGGAGGGGTCACAACTTAGCTCTGTGTTAGGCAGATGGTGGGTGCCCATCAGTGGGTCTGGGCTGGGCAGGAATGGCCAGATGTTAGTGCCCAGCCATGGGAGTGGTCAGGGCAGCATGACAGCATGGATATGGCTCCAGGGTCTGAGGGGTGGCCTGGGGCCAAGTGCCAGGGTGGTAGACTTGTTAGAGCTCTTTGTCATGCCAGTGGCAAAGAAGCCAGTTCAAACAGGCTCAGACAATAAACTGATCTACATAAGGGAGAATTCTGGGAGACGCTGCTCTAAATGAAGCCTCCTGACTTCGCCCTCTTGGGAGCTGGCTTCATCCTCAGGGTTCCTCTCCTAGAGGTGTCAGCCCTGTGGTTATACATGTCCCCCCCACGCCCACACCTGCAGACCTCTGCTCCTCACCTGACCACACTCCCTGCATTCCATCATCCCCTGGCTCAGTGCTGCACTGGGGTGGACTGGGGGAGAGTGGAGGATGTCCAGGATGAGGTTAGGAAGAGGTCACGGATACGGCTGGTCTGGATGGTTTGACCCCTCACCCCCAATCCTGAGGTAGAGGTGAGTAGAGAAGCTGGGCCTGCAGGGCTCTGGTAACTGCCCTTCTCACTTTCTGGAATGGGTACTGGGGAAGGGGTGCTGGGGCCACCAGTGGGGGCCTTGGCTGGAGGCATGTTACAGAGGCCACCTCTTCTCCCCTAGGTGGAGAGCAACATTGGCAGCCACCACTGGTTTCTCATGCAAGCCCTGACCTACCTGGGCAGCCCCCATAGGAACCTGAAGCTGGCAGCTATGAAGTTCATTGGTAAGCACTGCCCTGGCAACCTTACTCGCCCCTCCTTATTGCATCCTCCTCACTCCCTACCCCGGCCTGCATAGGAGATGGCCTTAACTTCCCTATGAGAGGCCAGACAACCCGATGGCCAGCATCCTCCGTGGCAGGAGATGCCAGGCCCACCTGACTTCCAGGGGGCATGCTGCAGGACTACTTTCTGGACCTCTGCTTCCGCCTGAAGAAGAGTGATGCAAAAACCCTCAAGAAATGTGAGCTGGGCCAGTGGCCAGAAGGGTGGCCTCTTCCCAATACTCCCAGGGTACCTCTGGCTGAGGGTGAGGCCTCCCTTCCACACTGGGATCTGAGGACAGGCTGTGTCCCCTGAGGGTGCCCCAGGCTCCATGGCCATGCAGTCGGACCATGCTCTCCCCTGCAGATTTCAATGCCCTCCAGGAGGATCCAGATGACCTGTGCCGCAGGTTCTACCTGAGCTTCTCAGAAGACATCATGGAGCTGTCCCGCTATGTGGCCTAGAGCAGGGTTCAGCAGCCACTCAGCCTGTCCCTTCCCTGTCTTTGTTGAGTTCTATTTTAATTAAATGCTGCCAGAATGCACCCTGGCCTCCTGGCTCTGCCTGCCCACACCCATGCATACAGCCAGGTGTATGTGTGGCCTGGGCTCTCCCCTCTGGCCAGACACCAGCAGCTGCAGGGACCAGGGAGCCCAGGACCGGGGGGTCATCTTCCACAGCTCCTCCCTACCCTCTCCTATCCTTAGCACGACCTGGATGGTCCCACATACTGCCTGGTCTAGGCTGCCGGCCTCCCTTCATGCTCCGCCCACTCCCCACTCCTCAGCCCAAGTGGAATCTTCTCTGTGCACCTCTGAACCCTTGTCCTGACCCAAGGATCCTGATGATTTGCCACCTCCCCATCTACTCACTCTGCTTTAGCTGTGAGCCCCTCACATGCCCAGCCCAGGGGATACCCTCTCCCTCCTTCCAATTTGGCTGTGTCTCTGCTGTGTGGATTCCTGGTGTGGACACCTACCCACCACACCACCAGTGCACACAGTTTCTCCGTTCCTCAGCTTAGTACAAGCTCCTCAGCAGTGTCCATGGCCCCTGCTTCCCATGGTGGCATTAGGACCCAGGTGGTTGGCTGGTGTGACACTGAGGCTCCTTAGCTCATAGTGACTGTGCAGTGAGTGCAAATGCTCAGGGGGATTGGCGCCTTGGATGTGGTTCTTATCCCACAGTAGTACCACGGCCTGCCCAGGGGAAGCTCAGATGCCTGCAGCAGCTGCCCCAGACACAGGTGATGGGCCATGTCAGATGCCCAGACATCACCTAGGACCTCCACCTCATAGCCACATCCCAGAGAGGCAGACTCATAGGGAAGATGGGGCTTGAGCTCAGCCATGGAGGCATCTGGAGTGAGGGGGAAGGCAGCTGGGGGACCTGAGGCTGTCTGTCCAAGGGGCTGAGCCTGAGAGTACCCAGCCAGCTTTGCCTTTCCCAGCAGGCTGAGGGCAGAAGCCCAAGGCCAGAGCTCTGCTCCCCACAGTGGCCATTATTCCATGCCTAGCCAACTGTCTCCAGTGGAAGACTGTGTGACAGGTATGCTGAGGGCCAGGGAGTAGGGCAGCGGGGTTTGAGGCACAGGTGCATCTGGCCAGACCTCAGGAGCCAAGAACAGCAGGCATGGGTCTGGATGGGTCAGGCTGTGCTGACAGGTTTCTAAGATCGGTGAACGGGGGAACTGAGGCCATGGTGTGGGAGGAGGGTGTGCATGGGGGAGCACCAGCTGGGGACAGAATTGTGTTTGGTGGGGTCAGAAGGCTGGATGGTTTTTAACCTCTCCGGTGAGCAGAATAGATGCTCCAAAGACCCCTCCCACTAGACAACTGCTTGATCTTGAATAAACTGCAATAAATGTACTTTTTAATGTATTGCTGGAAAATTCTAAAGGCTTAAAAACCAAAGCCAAAATTGAACCCCAAACAGTGAGCTGACCCCAGAACAGCCAAAGAATCAGGAAAACCCCCTGGGGACTTAGGCTGTGGCAGGACTGGGGTTGGAAGGCCCCACTGAGCATTTGGTTTGTACTCACTGCATGGTCACTATGAGCTAGGGAGCATTAGTGCCACATTAGCCAGCCACCCAGGGTCCTAATGCCAAGATGGGAAGCAGGGGCCATGGGCACTGCTGAGGAGCTTGTACTGGACTGGGAATGGGGGAGATTGTGTGCACTGGTGTGTGTGTGTGTGTGTGTGTGTGTGTGTGTGTAAGGTGTCTACAACAGGAATCCACATAGCAGAGACCCACAAAATTGGAGGGAGGTGGAGGGCTCCCCTGGCTCGCATGAAGAGGAGGTGAAACCCAGGCTGCACCAGGGCAGGACTCTGGAAGGGGCCCCTGGGGCAACACCCTCCCATTCCAAGCAGAAATGCAAAGCTGCCCTGCAAGAAGGTGCTCTGTGACCCTTAACCCTGATGTGTCATTTCATTGGATTAAGAAATGACTAACAGAGTAGTAAACCATACTCTGGGTGTGTCCAGATGGGTCATGGAGGAGGGATCTTGGGGGCTATATATAGTCCCTTGCCTGTTCCTCCCCAGCACTATCTACCTGCTCTGGCTTCCCAGCTGCCATGAGCTAAGTAGCTTTGTTTCTCCACACCCTTCTACCATGATGCCTGTGCCTTGGGGCCAGTTGACCCTGAACTGAATCCTCTGTGACCATGAGTCAAGTTAAACCTCTGTAGTTTGTTAGTGTCAGGTGCTACATCCCAGCAACTGGAAGGCTAACACATGCTCCCGCTTCAGCACTTGTCTACACAGACAGAATGCATTAAACCCTATGCAAGTTCCCAGGGAGAGCAAACAGACCCGGGACAGAAGCCCCACTGGGTCAGCAGAGAAGGCTTAATGGCATCAGGCTCCCAGGGACTTCAGATCCTGGAACGAGCAAGTACATCAGTCAAAATGCTTATGTATGCAACATCACAGAAGCAAGAGCAGAGACAAGAAATGAGCAAGGATAGGGAAACCTCAAAAAGGACCAAGCAGATGTGAAAGATGATTCAGAATTTTGAGATAGAAGAAAATATGATGTTAAATCTCAATGGCTAAATTAATAGCCTATTAGGCACAGCTGGAGAGAGCACTAATGAGCTGAAAGCCAGATATGGAACCACCAGAAATTCTCCAGAATCTAAAGTCAAATGAAATATGACACACACCTTGGAGTACAGACAGATAGAAATCCACAGGTGAACATAAGGTGCAGAACACAAAAGAAAATCTTTAACCAGAAGGGAAAAGAGGCTTCTGACCCCAATCAACAGACTTGACTGGCAATGACAGCAGCCCGAAGAGAAAGGATGACACTTTCCTGAGGAAGGATGAGGTTCCCAGCATCATGAACCCAGCAGAACTAACTTGCAGGTGTGAAAGTGAAATAAACATGTTTTCAGATACACCAGAACTGAGCATGTGTTGTCCTGGTGGCTACAGACACAGGCAGCTGTTGCAATGGACACAAATGTGTACTCTAGAAAAAGGGCAACAGAATAGGAATCCATGGCAACAGGAGCACTAAGAAACACAGTCTCAAATACCATGAGCAGAATCTTAGCAAATGCTAAGACCTACTGTAAAATCATGGTGGTCAACTTAAAAAAGCAGTAACAGAAGAGAAAAACAGTGTGTTTTGGCTGAAAAGCAAACCAACAGAGCACCAGAGAGCTCATATCCAGGTTCACAAACAGGTACCTGATGTGCAGCAAAGATGGAAGAACAAACTAACAGAGACAGGATGAATTATTACAGTGCTCATGTTGGACATTAGCTTTCTATGTGTAGAAAAACAAAACTGGCTCCATATCTGATGCCACACCAAAGTTAGCACAAGAACTCCATAGGCAAGAAAGGGTTCAAAGTTAGTAGAATATGAAATAGAAGGTCATTATAACCTATGGGTGATGGAGTACTTCATAGGCAAACTTCAGAAGCACAAACTATTGGACAAAATGTGATGTATTTGATTATGACAAAATTAAAATGAAAAACACAACACAAAAGCTGGAGAAAATGGAAGGCAGTCCACAACAAGCCAGAACTACAATTCTGGACAATACCACAGTCACTGGATTTCTCTCTAATGAAGGACATCATGGATAAAATGGAGAAACAGGCCAAGCATGAGGCTCCTGCAGTAGCTGAATGAACTGTCCAGGCCATACCAGAACCACAGCCAAGGAATCCAGTGAGGCAGCAGCCCTAGCAGAATGGGTCATGAGCACAGGTGGAATTTACAGCAGAGGGTTCCCCTAAGCCCCAAGTGTATAGAAAGGAGCATAAACTGAGTAATAATCAGGGAAATGCACATTAATAAAATGATATATCACTTCATGCCTCTCGTTGGTGTTTGGAGTTGGAGAGAAGGTGAGGACAGAGCTGTGGTGCATCCTGATAGCTGCAGTGCTGTTTTGTTGTGGAGATGGTCTGAAGCCATATGGCCACCTGAAGTCTACGAGTTGCTGAAGCCATCCATCCCAGCCCTGAGCTTACCAACCATGCCATTTTCATACCAGGCCCAGAGGGGGCTGTGTGAGGATGCACCTGTAGCAGTGTTTGTCATGGCAGAGTTTGAGAATGGTGAGGGAAGGCTTGATACAGAACTGTGAAGCAGTGAGTAGTAATGGATTAGGCCCTGGTCAAACTCTGGGAAATACAGAGAAAAATTTTCCATACTGTCTCCCACTGTGTGTAACCAGACCTCCTGTTTGTACGTGGAGCAGCCAAGGTCCCTGAGAAGCCAGGACCAGTAGAAGCAGTGTGGAACTCACTGTACCCCTGAACTGGAGGTGAGTCTCACTGCCTCCCTCCTCCCCCTGGTACCTCCTGACTTGAACTCCAGGTCAGCTTGAAACCCAGACATGTTCATCAGGTGCAGGAAGAAAGTGCGTCAAGACAAGCCCTCTGTCTGTGGTCCCAGGGGTTGGAAACAGGATTCCTGCATGTGAGGAATCAGAGGGAGGGGCTCCCCCAATGAGTTTTATGTCCTCTGCTACTCCAGTCCCCAGGAGTCTGGAAGGAAGAAGTGGTACAGTGCCAGCCAAGGAGACATTGAGACTTGGAAATAAGAGTTTGGTGAGGGAAGGGTACTGCTCCCCAGAGCACCTCACCTAGGAGGTACAATCACTCACACAATATGCAAATCCGAACCCACCACCAACGTCCCAGCTTTCTCATAGGGAGGCTAGAATGGGGTACCCTAAGAGTGTAAATATATTGAGGGGTTACACAGAGGACAGAGCTTGGAAAAGCAACCCCAGAGAGTTGTGTGTGATCCGCAGGTTGCCCTGTCCTAGATCCACTCCTGATCCCAGACTAGACCACTGCCCAGGCCTCACATGTATGCTGGGGTACAGACTGGAAAACTTCTAGAGCTGAACCAGCATCAGAACTGCAGCTCCGAGAAGGTGAAGCTGGCAATGTGAACTTAACTGAGCAGACTGGATGCAAAAGCAAACAAAAAATTAACATTCTTCATTGTATTTCAACAGGACCCAGAACTTCACAACAAAATATTCACAGTGTCTAGGATGCA